TTAGACCAATGTTTTCGATTTGATATTCAAATGACCTTGATAAGATCTTAATATCATCTACATATGACCCTTAAATGTTTTAGAATGATGAAAATAACAGTGGCTTTGAACCCAGCGGGTCCGTAAAAAGGACCTACGAGACTCGGTCTAATAGTCCAGGTTGCCGTAGATTTTGATATGTAGCAATGGCTCGCGGAAAGCGTCGTAGATAGATAGATAGAGAGAGAAAGAGAGCGGGAGACAGAGAGAGAGAGAGAGAGGGAGAGAGATTAGATTAAATTAGATTAGATTAGAATATTTATTTGCACCTTAAAGAAGTACCCTATCTGGTGATAAGAAAACAATAATTGTTATATTTATATATTAATAAAATGCAAGATAATTGTATTACATTATAAAATTGTGATACATTAGTTGTTAAACGGTGTGAGCAAGTAATAAGATTTGACAAATAAAGCGTATAATAGTTTAATAGCATCAATTTACGCATGATTAATAGAGCAAAATAGAACAAGATCGAGTAAGCAAAAGTAAGCAAAATCAAGAAATCTTATGAAGCCACTACCTGGTAGACTATAGCTACCAAGATGATATTACAAAATTGACCATTTGCCGATAACACTACAAGAGTAAATCGATATAAATAAAGGATATGTTAAAAGAATATGGGTGAGAGAACAAGGGACAAGGTAAGAGGATATACGTAAAGTTTGGCAGGAAGGTGTGATGAGTGAAAGATAGAAAGGAGAGTGTTTGAGTTTAAGTAGCGACCTGGTACAAGCAAATAATCAGAATTAAGCATATAAGATACAGCATGAAATGGAAGGGTTGAATGAGGCAAAAATTCAGGTAGAACACCATATTCGAGATTTTCGTTGCTAACTCTAAAGTACCAGCTCTGTCTCTCGATGAGGTAAAGCCAGGACAGGAGCTAGGATTTGAATTCAATGAACCTGTCAAAGTCTATTTCGGTGACAGATAACTTATTGAACAGACGACCACCGGTTATAGCGAACGAATTATTCTAAGATTCTATTTTAGGAGCATGATAGGTAAAGAGAGCGAGAAGATTTCTGGAATAATTTGGAGTAGATAGTTGAGTTGTAGAGGTTAGTAGCATGTTTAAAAGGTAAGAGGGAGTAGAGGTAGCTATTAATTTAAAGAATAGAGAGCCAAGAGAAAATAAATGTTTGTTTGATAATGTAAGCCATCGAAGGAACAGCCTATGGTGTGTAATATACATTTTGTGCAGTCTGTAATTTAGCAACACGTTGTTTGTTAAGATCAAGGTAAACTGATGAACAATGATCGAAAAGGGGAAAAACGAGTGACTCAACGAGTCTCTTTTTGAAAATTATAGATAGAGACTTTTTGTGAAATCTGAGGGAATATAATGTTTGATGGACCCTACGAACAACCGCACTGGAATGCCGCTTCCAATCTAGTTAACGAATGTTGAGTATTAATTGGTTATATTGTTGAGTGAAAGGCGAGGGAGTGTATTGAGGTTTATAAGAGAAATAAATATTCCGCTGCCAAAGATAATAGCCTTAGTTTTGTTGGCATTCAATCTAAAATCATTAACATGTGCCCAATCAGCAATACGGTCAATTACCACCTGTGTATCTGATAAGGGAAGGTCCCCAGGTGTTCAGCGCCAAAAGGCCCGCTATTAGGTGAAAAATGTTCCTTATGGTACCCACAACAAGCATTGACTTGTCCTAAGTCCTACTTTTCGGGTATTTTTGAGTACTATTTCCTCAAAGCTTGAATTTTGAAAACTTACAAACATGTTACTGACAGTAAAGTTGTTACGTCTCGTGCATCAACTACGAATAGCTAATGAATGAGACGTTCTAATATGTTGACGAAAGGTTGGATATGTCTCACTTATAATAAATGTATGTGGAAATGTATGTCTGATAATTGCACTACCTTGATAATCGTAGTTTTTAATTGTTGACAGAAATGCAGCAGGCTCTAACTGCTTGTTGAATTGTATAAATGTAGCAGGCTCTAACTGCTTGTTGAATTGTTTAAATGTAGCAGGCTCTAACTGCTTGTTGAATTGTTTTGGGTAGGTTGTTGAATAATTACTTGCACGATATTACTTTGTAACAGTCGCGAGTTTATTAAGTATAGTAACCACCAATTGTCGGACCGGTGTGTACGGAGTTGAGTCTTACAGGTACTTATTGACTGACTGACGGAATACTGATCAACTGCCGAGAGTCATTTGTTCATTCCTTTTTATATCTTTTATAGCTCTTTTCAGGTCAGGATTGCGAGATGGTGTGACATTTTGTTTTTGCTGAATATAAATTTTGCGTTTGGTGACTTTATTTAGGCGTGTCATTTACCTCGTGTTTCGTCGGCTTTTTGCTGACGTGCGAGTATTTTAACAGTTTTGAATTTCATGAATGTGCATTTGTTACAAAAAAGGATGCGTCGTAAGCCGTAACACTTATTTCGGAGTGTCATTCACCTTGCGTTTCGTCAGCTGACGTGCGAGTAGGTTAGCAGCTTTGAATTTCACGAATGTGCATTTGTTACAAAAGGATGCGGCGTAAGACGTAACAAAGTAATTCACTTTACAGTCAGTCAAAAGTAAAGTGTTTTCTTGTAGGTGAGGTCACACTCTGCAATCCATTTCTTGACGTGTTCTTTGGTCAGATTACCAGATTTACTACAAACTATGATTAAATTGCTCGGTGTATTTTGAATCACTTCCATATGAATATGAGGCCCAAATTCATTACCAGTAGTTTACTGTAAGCATATTAACATAGGTGACAAAAGTTTACCAGATGCTGTGATTATTGGCTGAATTGTATATAAATGACTAGTATTGAAAACACTTTTTACTAATTGCAAAGTGTCTTTTTCACATTGAATACTTAAAATTTTTGTCGAAAAATATTCTTTTGAAAAACCAAACTGTTCAGAATTCATAACAAAATCTAGATTATATTGAGGTATTTTAGAATTTGTAAGTTATAAGTGAACAGATTTACGATTTGCAATTTCAGTTTCTTCAGTCACATGCTTACTAGTTACAAGTTTAGTTATTTTTCTTGGAGAAATATGAAGTCGAAGTTTCAGATTCTTAATAACATGAGAGCTTGCTGTACATTGGTCTAATCCAACTCTTCTTGCTTTTTCAATAGCCCAGCGTCGAAGATCAATATCATGAACTAGTAAGAATTTTTGTCTTGCTTCAGTATATCGACTCTTTATAGACTGCTCTACTTCATACATCTTCAATGAAAAATTTCCCTCGTTTTCTACATATTTTTTAAACCTACTTATATGCACAGGTCGTAAGCGAGGATACAATGTTTGGATAGAAGAAAATTTCAATTGTTTTACATCTTTCATTTTAATAATTTTTTTCATTGTTTCAAATAAAAATGGTTGACTTTTATAAGGAGTATTTATTTCAACTGAAAAGTCATATCCATCGGCTTCTATTTCTCTTTTCTTCATTACCAGTCAGGTTCCGATGTAGATGAAAATTCTGAAGATTCTGTTCGGCTCATTTGAGAATTTGATTCTTCTGCTAAAGAACCTTCTGATTCATTTTCCTTTTTTAAATCTTCGCTTTCTACAGATTAGGAACCAAGTTCAGTCATTTCTAAGGATTCTCCTATTTCTAATTCAAGTGATACTCATATAATTCTCAGAGACCTTACTAAGCGAAAACGCGGAACAAGTGTTTGTATCAAATGGAATATTTGTAAGAAAGGTGGAAAAGTGGTGATGATCGAATGGGAGATGACTAGAAGCTATAGAGATATAATGTCGATTTAACACGGTTGACTTAAGTAATGTAAATGGAGAGCTAGAAGCCTTACTAGACAGATCAAGAGAATAAAGGCTGCGCTATTTTGCCACAATAGTTGGAGCTTCATCGAGTTGCTTCTTAATATAGCTGTTTTTTGCAGTGTCAAGAGTGTTAGAGACCTGAGATCGCAGTGAATTATATAAAGAGAGGTCGTAACTAGATTTAGTTGAAGTAAAAACCTTATAGGCACGATCGCGACGAGACATGAGAGCATGAGTAGCAGAGGTGATCCAACGTTTTCTTTTGGACAAGAGCACGACAGTACGAACAGGAGAGAGAGAAAGAGAGAGAGACAAAATTATCAGTTGGCATTTATATGGCGCAGCCCTCGGTAAAGCGGGTGCTCGGATCGGCTCAATTTGATTGACAATATTGCGATATCAGTGGCAATAGTTTGCCCGCATCCAATGTTCGCTCGCACAGTTGCACACGACATTACGCGTAATACACGTGCATGCTAACACGCCGTCTCTCAGTTCGCATAAAAGTCATGAGGCAAATAAAAATAAACGTAATCGCAAAAGCGCGGAGACTATTCCCAACGTCTTCTGCATTAACCATCCGTCAGCTATCTCCTTTCTTCTTTTTCGTTCTTGTCACGCGGCACACCGCGGGCTGCTCGTCACTCCCAACGCACACACATGCACCCGTTACTCTCTCTTACCTTAGTCTCAGCTGTCGTCGTCTGCTGCATGGCAATACATAGAAATGTTATAGAAATATAATTATAAATATAATAATAATATAATCCGAAAGAGAGAGAGAGAGACATAGCGAGTTTGATGGCCAACTCGTTATAATTATTAGATCAAATGTTGACGTGTGTAATCAACTGACGAAAAATATTTTTTTATTGCAATTTAACCAATGCAATAAAAACTCAATTATAATTAAAGCTACACCAGAATTAAGCCAATCGAGTGTGCATACGCGCACTGAAATCACATTGTGAGTAATAATATTGACAGTTAAAGTTCAGATCTCCGTTTAAGCATTGTTTCGACAATCGGGTGTTTTTCAAAAATTGGTTCTTAAATTTCTTTCAAATATCTTTAGTCATTTATAAATTTTTTGTACATTAAAATAGTTCAATAATACTAAATTACAGATCAATTTACTCGATACAAATCAATACATTCAAGATGTTCATTATTTCTGAAAATCTGACCTAGGACCTAACGTTATATAGAAGGAAAATAGTTTTAAGATAACACTACGACAGCACGTTTTTTTATCTGCATACAATTAATATTTCATTCATGCTGTGTTACTAATGCTCAAGATGTTATAACAAAATCAGGGATAAAACTTAAATAACTATAAAGCTTTAGGAATTTGGAGGTCTAGGATAGTTTTATGTGTATTTCTCGTTGCCAAAAATGCAAGTTTGATATTTTGACGATTTCACTACAGACGTGTACTACGCTAATTATAGGTTGTTATAATTAAGAATATTTATTAAAAATATTGGATATCAATAATATTATGAAAAAATTAATTTTAATTAAACTTTAATTTTATTAACAGAAGGGATATTACGAGTATCTAGCATTAACTGATAAGAGTCAAAATTTAGGCTAGAGTCCCCTTGGGCAGGCTCAAATAATTTCATAACCCATATTAACCTTTTCGTAAAAATAAAACATTTTTTTTATCAATCTATCTTTGAGTATTAAACTGTTTTCCTTTATCGTGATATAGAATTACCAGAAAGTAGAGCTGCATAACTCGTGCAATTACCTTGCTTTAATAATAATTCACTTACCATTCATCCAATTCATCTAGTTCGAAGAATATTTAAATCATTATTTATTCACTACATTCATTGTAGAGTTACATAATGCGAAGGATTATTCATAAAATCTTTTTTAATATTTAGACAACGATTACAGTCTTCCATGTAATCATATTGAGTACTTATAATAAATGAAATTTAACGTTTATCGACTCTCACGATCAGTTATGAATGTTGTGAGTTGAATAAAATAGTGTTTTACTATACAGAAATAATTATGTTTTTAGTAAATGATGTCTAACTCTTTTAATCTCAAATTAAAGCTTTTATCGATATTATTATAATTATTTAAAATCTAGTCTTGAATGTTTCAAAGTTAAATGTTAGTTTACGATATAAAAATGACATAATAATTTTGAATAGCAAGAACGTTGTCTAATATGAACAGAAATGTTAATTGCATTATTATAAATTCATTCTGTGTAAATTGATCGATTCACATTTGTGTCCATTTACCATAATGCCTGTATGCGCGTGCACGTGTGTGTATGTACTTAAATTGGTTGGTTAATAATTTCGTCGATTGATCTATAATTGAGGCTGATACTATAAAATTTCTACCTATAAATAGAAATTTTCCATGAGCAATCTATGATACTAGTGCTGTAAAGTAATGTATTGATTCTAGCAACATTTATGCATTTTAAATGTCTTAGAATAGCGGAGGAATATGTTGGAATTGATCACCTAACTAGTTAAAACTAATGTAACGCATTGCCATTCTATCTTGAATTCTGTTTGGCATGCATGAAAATTCCAGGTCAGGATGATACTGTAAAGCTGTAAAAAAAGTTATGAAATTGAAAAATAATATTCAATACAAAAAGTATAATTATATAGTGCTGGCTTACTGCTTTTGCACACCATAAAAGAAGTTGTTCAAAACATTATAGTCTTATATCTAAGTGAGAAATAAATGTACCTAGATCAGTTTGAGTGAATTTAAAAACAATTTTTTCAATCTTCAATTCATTTTAATAAATAATATAATTACACTTTGAAAATCAAAACATTTTTTGCCTAATTTGACTCTATATCGTAAAAAAATGGTAAAAAAATTTGAAAGCACAAACATTTTCAAAACCGTTAAATCAATTTTTAAAGATTCTGATTGTAGTTGCTGTGACGATCAGTTAATAATTTCTACAATAGTAGAAACTATTGTATATATTGTACATAACGCATTTTTGCAATAGAAATATTAATAAATAAAAAATGATTGAATTGGAACAGTATTTCATTTCTTCGTTTATCTAACGTTAAAAAATTCTTATTGTTAATGACATGGAATAGTTTACGTTGTAAAGTAGAGACGAAAATTTAAAATACGTACTACAAGATTCGAACAAAATGTTGAGTTGTCGTGAAATTGTTGTAAAATCAATGTCTTCGATGTTTGTCAATAACGGCCAAGAGACACTGGGTATTATTTTAAGATTTAAAAATATTATTACCAAAAATATTAGATTTATAATGAAACCTATCTTATCAACCACTAGAAGCAAAAAATTATAACAAAAAACTACTAAAATACTCTTAAAAAATTCAGTTTTTCGCTTTTAGGGATTGATAGAGTAGATTTGATAATAAATCTAATAGTACCATTGTATACAATATGTAAAATAATACTTCGGAAATATGTACTATAATTTTAGAAGTAACTTTTTGTATGCCTTAAAAATAACATAGTATCCGTTACGTCGGCCGACTAGCGAAAAATGAATATATTTGGATATCTGATGAATAAAGGCCTTTTTTTTAGAAACGGATCGTAGTACGAATTTTGAAAATTAGCATTCTAGAAAGTTATATACTGATTTTTAAACGTAACATACTGTCTTGATTCCCTTATGATTTTTTAAAATGATAAATTTTGTAATGATGGAAAAAAGGGAAATAGTGATAGATGGAAAATTATTTAATTTTAATTATATTCAGCAACGTTTCGTCAGCACATTTGCCGACCTCTTCAGGGTTTATTAATAGAAAAACAACAAATTATTAACAATAGAGTTTGCAAAAGTAATTTTAATTGTATATAAATGTATATATATGTGTATACCTGATTTCTCTCGTAGTCAAATTATTATAGGCTAAAAAGAATAGATCGTAGCACAGACAACTTACAATAAGGTGAGAAATCAAGTATTTCAACCTATATATATATATACTCTTCATCTATTATCTCTTCCTCATCAATCTTAATAAAGGCTTATAGATGTGACTTAGATATCGTATATCCACTTTTCTATTTAACGTGTTTTTATGTAAGCCAATGTGTAACATTTCTGATATTCTACGTTTCTTATAATTCATTTCATAATCCAATATCTTAGCTTTTTTCCAGTCAAATTCGTGTGACAACGTTCTTCTATGTGTAGCTACTACTGTATCTGAATCAATGTTTTTTTTGTGTTCGTTTAATCTAATTTTTAAGGAACGCTTACTTTCACCTATATAGACCGCTAAACATCGTTTGCAGTTAAAACAGTAGACAATACCAGTGTTGTCTAATAAGTCAGATTTGTCTTCCTAAACGGATAAACTCTGTTAATGGTTTTTGTAATAAAGGGATAGATATAATGTTGTTTTTTTAACAAAGATGAACATTTTTTGAAGATGTAGCAATTATTAGGAATAGCGACTGTAGGTAATTTTTGATTTTATAATTTTTTAGAAATATTATTCCCTTTTTTGTATTTATTGTGATGTTTTGTTTTGATAAATAAAGATGGATAATTATTCTTTTTCAGGATATCAGTAATTATTTTTAAATTCTTGGAATAAATTTTTGTCAGCAAGTACTCACTTGGTCAACTAAATTCGAATTATATTAACTTTTTGATGAATTATATGTTCTGAGTTAAAATTCAAAATTCTGTCAGTTTGTGTTGTTTTCTTAAACCAGTTAAATTCTAATTTATTATTATTTCTCATCAATTTTAAGTCAAAAAATGGAATAAAATTATTCATTTCAATTTCAAACGTAAATTGTAGTCTATTATGATAAGAATTGAACGTCTCGATAACTAAATCAATTTTATCTTTCGGAACGCAAATCAAAGTATCATCAACATATCTGTAATAGAAAACAGGATTAATTTGATATTCATTCCGCAACACGCTCAGGCAATGTTTTCCATACAAGGGAACCACCACAACCCTACGCCTCAGATTTTTCTGCAATTGAGATATGTTATAGTTCGTAAAAAAATAAAAAAGCCGTATTTTTTTTTATCGGCGGAAAAAGCTATTTAAGATATGAAACCCACCCCCAAAAAACAGCCCCAAAAGCAGTTCTATTGCAATATCTTTAGTTATAATGAATATTTTTTTATGAAACAAAAAAACACAAGATACTTATAAAAAAAGTAACAGACACCCATCGACTTGGTCCCCGGGGGTTGCAACCCCTACGTTGTATAGAGGAAAAACTGTAATTTTCAGTGTATTTTTACCTTACAAATTCAAAAAATTATGTTAATAGAATTTTAAAAAGGATATTCTAGTAGTAAATGTTAAAACAAAATTGACGTGATTCGGGCTTTTCCTATTATCTATTATTTCGAGGGTGAACTAACCCTTAATGTTATTAATACAATATAAGCAGTTGTTAATCGCAGATTATGCTGGTTATTTCATGTTCTAAGACGCTCAAAAAAGCCAAACACATGTATAATTTTGTTCTCCCGAATAAACAATTTAGAGGGTGGAAGCGACCACCGAAAGTTACCCCTCGATTTTATGCACGGATATTTACAGTATTTTATGCACAGTTTTCGACGAAACAAATTCTAAAAAATTCTTTTAAACAATTTCAGCTAAATATATAGATTTCATCTACAGGGGTTGCAACCAAACCCTCTAATTTGCCTGAAAGAAAAGCTATGCTTTCAAAAATTTTCTTGGAAAATTTTTTCAGAAGAAATGAAGTTTCTAAAATTCCGTTTGAAGTGTAAGACAAAAGTATACAGTATCCTTCACCAGGGGCTGCTTCACCTTCACTGGAGAGTGCACAGAGCATTCATTTGTTACCCTGATACCCTACCACCCCGAACCCCATTTCTTTAAACCTCGAGCTAGTTACCCTGCCACGCTGTAACGCGTAACTCCTACACCACAATTTCATCGACACACGAGCTGGTTACCCTGATACGCTGTAAATCGAAACACTTAACCCGAATTTCTATAACCCTCGAGCTGCTTACCATGCCACGCCCTAACCCCGAACTCCTACATCCGAATTTCATCAACCCTCGAGCCGGATACCCTGCCACGCTGTAACCCAAAACTCTTAACCTCAAATTCCTTAAACCTCGAGCTGGTTACCATGACACGCTGTAACCCCGAACTCCTACTCCCGAATTTCATCAATCTGCGAGCTGGTAACCCTGCCACGCTGTAACCCCAAACTCTTAACCCGAATTTTCTTTACCCTCGGGCTGGTTACCCTGCCATGCTTTAACCCCAAACTCTTAACCCCATTTTCCTTAAGTCTCATGCTGGGTACCATGCCACGCTCTAACCCCGAACTCCTACACCCGAATTTCCTTAACCTCCGAGCTGTTTACCATGCCGCGTTCAAACTCCGAATTTCTACAAACGAATTTCCTTAACCTCCGAGCTGGTTACCATGCCACGTTCTATCCTCGAACTTCTACACCCGAATTTCATCAATCCTCAAGTTGGTTATCCTACCACGCTGTAACCTCAAACGCTTAACCCCAATTTCCTTAACCTCTGAGCTGGTAACCCTTTCTTGATCTAACCCCGAACTCCTATACCTTAATTTCATGAATCATCAAGCTGGTTATCCTACCACGCTATAACCCCAAACTCTTAACCCCACTTTTCTTTACACTCGGGCTAGTTACCCTGCCATGCATTAACCACAAACTCTTAACCCCAATTTCCTTAACTCTCGAGCTGGGTACCATGCCACGCTCTAACCCCGAACTCCTACACCCGAATTTCCTTAACCTCCGAGCTGTTTACCATGCCACGTTCAAACTTCGAATTTCTACAAAAGAATTTCATGAATCATCAAGCTGGTTATCCTACCACGCTATAACCCCAAACTCTTAACCCCACTTTTCTTTACACTCGGGCTGGTTACCCTGCCATGCATTAACCCCAAACTCTTAACCCCAATTTCCTTAACCCGAGCTGGGTACCATGCCACGCTCTAACCCCGAACTCCTATACCCGAATTTCCTTAATCTCCGAGCTGGTTACTCCAATATGGTTACTTCTTTACCCTCGGGCGGATTACCCTGCCACGCCTTAACCCCTGGCTCCTATGCCCGAAATAGATCAATCCTTGAGCTGGTTACCCTACCACACTCTAACCCCGAATCCCTAACACCCGAGTTTTATCAACCCTCGAGCTGGTTACCCTATTACGCTATAACCCTAAACTCTTAACCCCAATTTCCTCAACCTTCGAGCTGTTTACCATGCCACGCTCTAACTCCGAACTCCTACACCCGAATTTACTCAGACCTCAAAATGGTTATCCTACCACGCTTTAACCCCAAACTCTTAACCCCAAATTCCTTAACCCTAGAGCTGGTTACCGTGCCTTACTCGAACCCCGAACTCCTACATACGAATTTCATCAATCCTCGAGTTGTTTACCCTACCACGCTCTAACCCCAAACCCTGAACCCCAACTCTTAACCCCAATGTCATCAATCCTCCAGCTGGGTACCCTGCCACGCACTAACCCCTGAACTCCTACACCCGAATTGCATCAATCCTCGAGCCGGATACCCTGCCAC